ATCCTGTCACACCGCGACACGCCACTTAACGAAGATGTAACTTTAAAAGAATTATCAGAAGGCTACTTTCTTTTTATCTTGTACAGAATAACGCGTTAGGCGATTAGGGAACACGTGTGTGTGTTAAATTTAAATTAACATTGTTGTTGCAACTTACGTGGTGTTTTTTTCAAAATTATGCGATTAATCGATACGGAGAACATGTGTATGTGTTAAATTTAAATTAACATTGTTGTTGTAACTTACGTAGTGTTTTTTTTTTTTCAAAATTATGCGATTAATCGATACAGAGGACATCTATACTCGTTAAGTTTAAATTAACATTGTTGTTGTAACTTACGTGTTGTTTTTTTCAAAATTATGCGATTAATCGATACAGAGGACATCTATACTCATTAAATTTAAATTAACATTGTTGTTGTAACTTACGTGGTATTTTTTCAAAATCAAAATGTGCAATGTTGTTTATAAGTAATGATGCAATTTTCAGTAGTGCAATTCAAACGGATAGTATAATAATACTATCATTCATGTTTATGAGAAAAATGTCGAAAGAGGCAAGTTAAATACTCAGACAGTTTTAGTATTAATCTAAGAAAGAAATATTTATGAAAATATTACAAATTATAATATAATTATAAAGATATTTATGATTATGATATGTGAAGAAAAATTACTAACAACAAAATTACAAACAATGTTATTAGTAATGAAAACGTTTAAGCGTAATGAAAGTGTAATGTAGAAAATTTTAATATTGTAAGTATTTATAATTAAAAGTATTTCTTATTCTTATTCAATCAGTTATTCTAATTCTGACATCAATGTCCTGAGCCATTCGTAAATTGTCAAACATTTCTATAAAACAAATGTTATATTACTATTTTAAAAGGAATTATTGTATTATCTTTTCAATAACTATAACAACTTTACAACTTGTGTTTATACTGCGTAAACATACTGACTCGCATTCTAGCGGTCAAAGGTACACGTTATATCACGTTAAATTAGGCACTATAAAAATTTATTAACCATGCAGTAACGCAGTTAGTTTGCTGACAATGAATATTGCTTTCCTAATAGGATTTGACTTGATCAACTGAAAACGGTGAATAGTTGGGAAAGAAACATGAATGACGAACATTTGGTAGAACTTGTACAAAATTACAATGAATTGTGCAGTTTCAGTCAGAAAAAATATTGTGATTCGTCTCACGAAATGAAATTGCAAGTTAACATAGGGAAGAAACTTCAAACTCATTCTTTCTAGTAATTCTGCAACATCAGATGTGCCTAGAATCGTTTTCATTTTGCTCTTTTTGCAATGTCTTTCTTATTCAAGATTAATTTTTATTAAAATATGTTTCAAAATTTATTAAAATTTATTAAAATATATTGAAATATATTTGTTAAATTATTAAAATTTAATGAAATATATTTGTTAAAATTTATTAAAATATATTTGTTAAAATTTATTAAAACATATTTGTTAAAATTTATTAAAACATATTTGTTAAAATTTATTAAAATATATTTGTTAAAATTTATTAACATTTATTAAAATATATTTATTAAAATTTATTAAACTATATTTATTAAAAACGATATTGTCCCTTTCTGAAATGAACAAGTAAAAATGAAAGAGATTGTGACTTGTTTTTTTTTATTGTTGAACCTAGATTAACCTATCTGATCGTGATCTGATCGTATCTTTGACCACTAGTGTGAATCGGGCTTTAGGTCTGTGTATTAAATTATGTAACTATTATATACAACTTTTTATTTTCGCGTCTACAAATTGAAACTAAAGTCATACGTGCAAATGAACACGAGAACAAGACTCGAAGTACAAATGAACTCGCATCAATTCATCTTTTACCTAATCGATTTATTAAATCCGAACAAATTCAATCACGATAATACGATGGATGCACAGTCATTTCTGCATCGTTCAATCATTTATCCAGCGCTTATATGAAAGTATCAATAATGATTGATTCTTCCCGGAACTCAGAAGTCGTTGAATTGGAAAAATCACAGTAACATTAGAAAATATTAGAAAAATCAATAATAAATTAATAAAATAATAAAAATAATAATGATGTTAACGAAATATTGATTGAAATTAATTAAATACTAATGAAAAGACAATAATTGCTGCTATTAATAAGTATTGTAAACTAATTATTTTTTAAAATATAATTTTGAAAATTATTATTATAGTATAAATTATTTTTTTTAATATAATTTTCTTACGGAATGCCTGGTTTGAATTTTTTTTCTTGCAAAATTTGTATTTTAAAAAAACTATTTGTATTTTATAGTTGAATACTATGATAAAGAGATATAACTTATGATATAAGTAATAGCTATCAATATCGTTTACTAAATAAAAAAAATATTGTTTAATATAAAATATTGTGAATATTGTAAAGACAAAATATAAAATATTGTTTAACAAATAAAATTCCCTAAATAAGAATAATATTCTTATATACAAACACAAGTATACTTTGTTAATCGTTGTTAATTATCTTATTATCTTTAGTTAATTAGAACAGATACTAAATAATAATATACGCATATATTTAAAAACTTTCAAAATAAAAACTTCGATGTCATCGTATTTTTTAAATATTGTTCAATATGGTTGGGTTTTGTGACTCATACTGTAAGATATATTTAGAAAATCAAACGTATATGTATTTTTTTTGTCTCTTTTTTTTTTAAATTTTAGCTTATGATTTTAGCTTTAAAATTTTAGCATCGACACAATGTCTAGATCATTTTAACTCATAAGGTACTATATTATTTAGATAGAGGTTTGATAAAAGTTTGAATCGATTAAATAAACTATTCTATTTTTTTAAATGATGCTGCGAGGTTGCGTCTTCAGATTAAGTATGATTTTAAATAAATAAATCTTTTATAATTCAAACTAGCATACTTAAATTAAAAAATATTCAATTATTGTATTAATATATTAAGACATATGTATTAATTAAAAATTATTTATAAACGTCGCTGAAATACTTTGCAAAAAATATTGTTTCTTATAAAATAATTTTTATTTAAACTTAGATATGTGTTCTTAAAATATTAAAAGTATTTTAAAACAAAATTTCAATTGAACTTCTAACAATAAGTAATTTGTAAATCTTGAACATTTTGAATTCTTAGTTCTAATGTAGAAGCAACTAGAATAAAAATTTTAACATGAATTTTTGGGATAAAATTATAAAAAAAAATTTCGAAAATTAATTTTCGACCTTATTTGTTTCCCGATCTTTAAAAATCTACAGTAGCGCCACTCGATGAAAAATTGTCGATATTTTAAATTCTTATAAAAATGATCGCACAATAACTTTTAAGACATGGTTGCAAAAGGCAGACTTCAGTCTTCAAAATCACGATAGATTTAGTTATCAAAAAATTTTTTTAGCTTCTATATAAAAACATTTGACTTTGCAAATTATTTAAAAAAGAAGCCTTTACTTATCCTCCTTCAAAATGGATAATAGTGAAAACATTTTTGGAAAAAAAAGAACTCAATATTGTAAAAATCACGTTTTTAAAATGACCTCCATTAGATCGTCCTACGATTTTTTTTTACGAAATTAAAATAGGTTAAAATATTTTCGTTTAGTATAATGTTTTCACACTTGATAAAAACTCGTCGACAGTTTAAATTATAATTACATATAATTATAAGAAAAAATACCATAATAATCTAAAAAAACCATATAATAATCTACCTAGGTTCTGCTTTCATAATACTTAATTCGTTTTTTCCAAAGATATTTTAAAGGTACAGATAATGATACTTTCTCTCGAAAATTTTGCAAAAATTTTCAAACATCCTTATGTAAATATGTGAAAAAAATTTTGTTCACAACTACATCCATCATTATCTTTAAAATGAATGTTTCATGGTTACAGCGATCCTTTGAAACTTGTTGAAATTTTTTTTTTTTTTTTTGTGATAATGATAAAGATTTAAAGTATGAATAATGTGCAATATCGCGTGCAATATCGAACAACGTGTGAGGTCCGGTTTGCGTTGTGTAATCAAAGTGAAATGATAAACCGAATCGAGATCTGTATGCCCTGATCAATCTGCCGTAGAAACTGAAATATTAACGTATCACGAATTGAATTGAAACAGTTGTCGAAGAAAGTAACGCGACAGAATGATTAATAATTGGTCGGGACATATACGATCATGTTACTGCTGTTCAGGTGGAATACAGAATGTTTCATTAAACCACCTGAATATCTTTTCTATTAGTAATACTACGTTCTCTATTAGTTCTCTATACTACGATGTAATTTAAATTGATTGAAGAGACAAATCGAAGGGAAGAACTATTTTTTTAAAAATATCATTTTTTATTGTTTTTTTCAAGGTCATTACTTTTTTTTTATGTAGGAAACGTGTATTTTTTTTATTCCATTATATATATAGCTCATCAAAAAATGTATTCAGATATGTTTACGATATGACCTTGGACTTCAAAATTTTTTAATTTAATCGTGAAACTCGCTGTTGAGCGAGATTCCAGATTAGAACGACAAAAGAAGTGATCTTGAGAATGTAAACAAACACTATTACGTATTGTTGTATGAAATTTGTTTAGTATTAGTTCTTTGAAGGATTTGCTCGCTATTAGTTTTTTTTTGGTGATCATCGGCAAGTGATTCATAAGATAGAGAACAGAATTAATTATATTTGTGGTAGTAAAAACATTGTTGTTTTTATATTTTGAAAAATTTTATTTATTAGATAAATATTAAAAAAAAGAGGTATCCTATTTTTTATCATATTTAGTGATAACTATTGTATATAAAATTATTATATAAAAAGCATAGATAATTTTCTTAATACTGTATATAAGCTTAATGAACAATTATAATATTAATATAATAATAGAATTAATGTATAACTAAAGTATAAAACTTGTATCGATTGTGTGTTTCAGGTAAGAATTTGGCTATTTACAAGCTTGTTTTGCAATATCTGAGAAGACAGTGGGCCTTTTATGTAAGGAAAGACTATTAAAACTCTCATTATATTAATCTTATGATATAAGTTTATAGAAAGCATACGTTTTTATTATTTTAATAGACATTTTTATTTATTAGTATCAACATAAATTTATATTAAAATTTATATGAACATAGATAAGTAAAAATATCTATTAAAATAATAAAAGAAAGTAATAAATGTTTATTATATTAACATAAATAAACAAAAGAAGTTGTTGGATTCCGTGTAATGGAGTCAACATGCTTATAATTTAGAAGAGTTTATTCCCTTGCAGTCGTAGTCGTGTATGAAATAGAATGGTATAGAATGATTTACAATGTTTAATGCTCTTGAATATGATGTAGAATATGATGTAGAATGTTTGATGCTTTTAATGATATAAAATGTCTCTATAATGATTTAGAATGTTTTATACTCTTAATGATATAGATTGTCTCCATAATGATTTAGAATGTTTTATGCTCTTAATGATATAGAATGATTTACAATGATTTAGAATGTCTAATGCTCTTAAATATGATGTGGAATGATTTAGAATGTTTAATGCTTTTAATGATATAGAATGTCTCTATAATGATTTAAAATGTTTTATGCTATCGAATGTCTCTAAAGCATGTCCTTATATATATTTGGTTATTATCGTCAAGTGGAAGGGGAAGGAGCATAGATGACCAACTATTGGATCTTGCCCTTATGACTAACTATTCACAGTCCACTTTTATGTAGACTGTTGCTAACTCATTGTCAGTATTTGCATAGATTCAATATTGTCCAGGTTGGTCATCCAACAAAGTTGCATGACGTCCGTGTTGCAAAAGTATTGAATAGTAAAGAAAAATTTATGTTACAAAGAACATAATCTTTTGTTTATATATTTTGTAATCAAATAAAATTATTCAGATTGCGAAAAATTCACTATTGTGAATTTATAAAATTTTTACAACAAGCTACAAATTGGTCATTTTAACCATTCTGATTCTAGTTTTAATGTTAATAACGAATTTCGTTAACAAGCATATTAACTGCATTAAAAATTAATGTAACATAATAAATAGTGATATTAATAATTTCAAATATTAATATATAAAAATCATATGATTTTTTTAAAACTGAAATATTTGCACATGAAATAATAATATAAACCACAATATTTGTAAAAAAAAACTTTGGCAATTTTTTAATGCAAATAACAATATAACCATATTGTTTTTATAATTATTGTTGTACCTTTTAATTATCAACAATATCACTACCAAATAATTTCTATATAATCAAAGGTGTGAAAATCGAGACTTGTTAAAAACTCTCATAGAGGCCATTACGCTTGTCACTGTTCAAGTCGATTTTCCCATAGAAAATTTCACAGCAGTGTCCGATTTATCAGCTTGAGAAACACTTGACGCGGAGAAAAAACAGGTCCTCATTTCTCATATCGCGCCTGATTACAAAATCTCACACACGCGCGCGCGCAAGAACCTGTAAAAAGTACACGGTGATTGTCACACGGTGCACGTATTCGATTATCTGTGGAATGCAATTACCGCGGATTTACTTTTGTTTTCTAATCTTTTTTTCTTTTTTTATTCCTAAGTTGCATCGTACGACCAGTTTTTGTCTATAATATTCTGCTATCAGCCGATCGAGGAATTTGAAGTATTTCGAAGAATTTGGATCGATGTTTGAACACTTTTCGCGTGAAGAATTTCATCATTGTAGAATATACCGAGTGTCGAGGAAATACGCGATCAGACATTGGTTGTTCTACTGTTCCCAAGGAAGGAACGTAGTTACGTAAACATAAATCCGGAAACTCTTCCTTTTCAAGGTGTAGATGTTACTGTGAAAAATACTGAATGCCGGAAAACGTGAGCTTCTTCAAAGTCTAAGATTTACTAATCAATGTCGATATAAAATCATAATATAGGGTGGTCACTGAAAGACCGAATGATATAAAACAAAAGTAACTTTTACAAACACATGTTTTTTTAAATTTTTTATTATTTTTATATTATTTTATTATTTTATTATGGGTTTTTTCAGTATTCATCAGTTTTTTTTCTATAACCTACAAAAAAAAAAGAAAATAAAAAAGATTGAAAATGCACAAGTTATGACTTTTTCAAACTGTTTAGTTTTTCAGTGGCCTCCCTCATTGAAATTAATTGATAATATAGGTTAATATTTACTAAATAAATGTCAGAAGTTTTATTACAGAATTTGTAATTATCGTCAACGTAACTATGTTTCTTAATAAATGCTAATAATTGTATGTAATTTTGTTTTACTATCAGAAATTATTCTTACCAGATACGTACCAGCGGCAAATTTTGATTTATCGTTAGACCAGTATAAATCAAAACATTGTCCTGAAACATTATCATGATGAAATTGTAATTTTTACCATGTGTTATTGATAAATTTTAAGATTTGCAGAGAAGGCCAACATTTTTCAGTATTCGAGATTTTACAGTAACATATTTTCAGTTACGATGGAGTATTTAAGAATGTTTCAAATACTTCCCGTTTGTTTCACTGTAAACAGATATTGTTTCATACATTATCAAAGACGTTCAAAAATTTCTGGTGTATTACAAATCTTTTTATATGAGGCAATAATTCAATTTTTAAGTATTTCCACTCTATCAGTAACATTTAATATAATATAAATATGTAGTATAATAATTTACTATATAAGTATTTCCAATTTATCAATAGTGTAATCATAAATTAGACTGTTAAGATGTCTTCATAAATAAAGATTCAAAGGCTTTAAATGAGGAGAGTGCTTGTACCTTGGAAAGGGATAGTTTTCGAATCTATGTATATTTCTTTTTTACAATTAGAAATACTGAGAATACAATAGAAACATATACTTCTTTAAAATACAATACTAAAATATTTCCTGTACATAAAATTTAATAAAACTATTTTTAAACGTAATTTAATGACATTCACAAATTTTTGTTTTCGTATTTTAATTAATATAGAAATTTATACTGTTCTCTTCGCAATAACTTGTTTTGTATATGACATGTTTTTTACTTTTATCATTAGACTGCTGATTTTTATAAATTTACAGGAAATTTTAAAGTGCAGAATTACGCAGAATAGGAAAATATTTAAAATATTCAAAATGTGTTTGATATGTACCAAAACATTTTCTTTTCATGGCTATCTTGATCCTTGGAAATAAGAAATGATCTGGCGAATATGAGAAACGGTGCAACATTTTAATTTCTTTCTTTTTCTTTTTTTTTTTTTTTTTTTTTTTTTTTTTTTGCAGAGAAAAAGTATTAAAAGTGGATACACGTTACAAAATGCGCATTAAAATCATTTTAAATACTACAATTCAGTTCCTAATGTCACAGAACCAAAATCTCATAGAATTTATTCGCAAACGAAGAGTATATTCTCGAAATATTAATGAAAATTATTAAAAAAAATTTATTTTCCAATTTTCAATTACTTTTGAGACAGATGTACGCAAAGTTTCGTCTTTTAAAAAGAACGACACCTCGGCAATGGAAAATAATTGATACGAGTCCGACGTAATGATAGATACAGCTGACAGATAGAAAACTCAAAGATAGATAGATAGTCAGTCACTATAAATAGTGCAGTTTGTCCTATATTTTATAGTTGTCATTACTTTCATTGTCAGCCCGTTGCAAATGTAATTTATGTGTGGCCGTCGTCCTCTTTCGAGTTTATTGGGCGTGGATACGCCTGCGTGACGGTATCTAAACTGCGCTCTGGCATTCATGCGATCTTTCGTCCACCGTGAAGAGAAAGGGTTGGTAGCAGTTTTAATTCATCGTGGAAAATCGCGCAGGTGGATTGCAAATTATATATAAATAAAGGCACGTTTCCGCTAATCTACGCTCGTATTTCACGTGTGACAATTATATTGCGTTGGCTGGAGGCATTGTACGAATTAATGGCAAGCACATGACATGAAGATTTATTTATCATTTAACAGATTTAATAGCTTCTGTGGGTGGCTTGATCTTTACCCTTCGATAATAAATTTACTTGTTGACAGGATTCGTGAAATAAATTGAACTCACAATGCTCCGTTTTATTTTTTGTTAATTCAGATACATCTTAATAATATCTTAATTTTAAATTTTGCTTTTAATACTTCTTGATTAATCTTTTTCTCAGTTTTATTAATTAATTTCTGTTAGAACGAATGTGTATTTTTACTGTGAAGCCAATTAATCATAAGTTAATTCTTTAACACAGTATGTGAAATCTGTTTTAAGATGTTCATTTCATTTTTCCTTTACATATATCTGTATTCTTTTGTCCAAGTTCTTTTATTAATGATATTGGACGAGTCCAGTAAATAATAAGCGTGCATTATATTATAAGAAATAAATCCTTCAAAATATATCATTTGAACGAGATATATTGGAAGTTTTTAAATATTAGCAAGATGATGTAATAATATAGAATAAACTGATGGAATAAAGTTTTATGCATTTTAAACTTTTTATGAACATAAATTAAAAAATGGAATCTAAACAGAATTCTATCTTAAATTATGTATTTTAGTTATTTTTGCATCTCTTGTATCATTTATTACAACTTACAAACATATACAGCGTGTTTCGTAACTTGTGGGACCCACTTCGGGAGCTGATTGTACGCCTAAAAATAATGAAAAAAAGTCATATAAACATATGTCCTACCTGTCTTCGTTTGTGAGATATAATGAATTTTCTGTTTTAATTACTTTTTACAAAAGAAAAGCTCGAAAATGACCGTTTTGCATTCGAAGACAAGCCTGCACGCGTCTTGTCATTCATCTGGTTACTCTCTGTATCATTCCTGGTGTTTCTCGAATTTGTCGGAAGCTTTGCTCCATTCTATTTCGTAGTATTTCAGCATTTTCAATCGATGTTGCGTACACAATAGATTTTAAATGTCCCCACAAATGAAAATCTAATGGATTCAAATCCGGAGAACGAGCAGGCCATGCGATAGGACCT